TAAGTGAAAATGAAGACCCTCAAAAAGATGGACTGATACAGTGGTTACAACAACTAACATCATCAACATACACACTAATTCTCATCTGGATATAGCAACAGGCAAGAAGAACTTCCTCGCTCCTGCTATTTAAGCAGTAGTCTAATGGACAGGAATGTGTGGGGCTATAGGATAAGCAGTGGCCTGCTAATCACAAGGTTGACAGTTCAAACCTAACAGTCGCTCCTTGGAAACCCTATACAAGGTCACTATGAGTCAGAACTGACTAGACAGCACTTAACAACAATGGATACGAAACACCCAACCCAGAATTATCTCTCACTAACACCTACATACAGAGTCCTGGTGTGGTGCTGTGGGTTAATGTGCCAGACTGCAAAGCCATTTGAACTGCGAGGTCGGTGATTCAAGCTCACCAGCTGTTCCTAGGAAACCCTATACAGGGACGCTATGGGTTGGAATCAACTCAACTGCACTTAACAACAACAACAACACCTACATATATGTATGAATGCAAATTAAATGTCAGAGTAGAGGAAATTTTGTTAACCAACAGGGGTGGCTTATTCTAAAAGCTTTGTTGTTCTTAGGTGAGTCGTCATGGGCTTAAAGCTAAGCTATCAAATATTCTGTAGCCAAGATAAAGTTAATTTCATTTCCAGGGTAAAGGTGCAAGGTTGATTTACATACCAGAACAAACAAACATTAAATTCAACAATGTTTTCAATATCCTAAAGTGCTAACCACAAGGTTGGCAGTTGAACGTACCAGCTGCTCCTCTGGAGAAAGATGAGGCTTTTGAAAACCCTATAGAAGGTCGCTATGAGTCAAAATTGACTCGATGGCAGTGAGCTTGATTTTTTTTGGAGTGAAGGCAGCAATTTAGGAATGTTGTTGTTGGTAGTTGCCATCAAGTTGGTTCCAATTCATAGCAGTCCCATGACCCTTATGAAACACTGCCTGGTTCTGCACCATCCTAACAATTGCTATGTTTGAGCTGATTGCTGCTACCATGATGTCAATTTATCTGCTTGGGTGTCTTCCTCTTTTTTGCTGACCCTCCATTTTTTCAAGTATTACGTCCTTTTCCAGGGGCTGGCCCTTCTGACAATATGTCCAAAGTATGTGTCCTAAGTATATGTCCAAAGTCTCACCATCCTCACTTCTCAGGTGCATTCTGGCTTTTTGCAAGACAGATTTGTTTGTTCTCCAGGCAGTCCATGATACTTTCAATATTATCATGTATAGCTTCAACAGTTTTTAAGTTATCTTCAGCAAAATTTTACTTTCATGTGATATTAATGATCTTGTCCAACAGTTTCTGCATTCTGTTGGGTCACCTTTTTTGGGGTGAGCACAAATATGAATCTCTTCCAATCGGTTGGCCAGGTAGCTGTCTTCCACATTTCTTGACATAGACTAGTAAGCACATCCATGCTGTATCAGTGTGCTGAAACTTTTCAATTTATATTCTCTCAATTCCTGGAGCCTTGACTTCTTCCAACTATAGATCCTTCCTCTTTGTGTCCTACTTTCCCACTCCAATCACCAGTAATTATCAATACATCTTGATTGATCAATTTCAGGCTGAAGAAGTTGATAGAATTGTTCAAATTTAACACCATTGGCTTTAGAATTTGGTGCATAAATCTGAATAATGATATTACTGGTATTCCTTGTAGGCATATGGATATTATCCTATCTCAGTCAGCAT